AACTTGTTGTACAACTGTCCTATGAACATTATTGAAGCTAGTTTGTTGTGGATAACTTGTTGTACAACTGTCCTATGAACATTATTGAAGCTAGTTTGTTGTGGATAACTTGTTGTACAACTGTCCTATGAACATTATTGAAGCTAGTTTGTTGTGGATAACTTGTAGTACAACTGTCCTATGAACATTATTGAAGCTAGTTTGTTGTGGATAACTTGTTGTACAACTGTCCTATGAACACTGCTGAAGCTAGTTTGTTGTACATAACTTGTTGTACAACTGTCCTATGAACATTATTGAAGCTAGTTTGTTGTGGATAACTTGTTGTACAACTGTCCTATGAACATTATTGAAGCTAGTTTGTTGTAGATAACTTGTTATACAACTGTCCTATGAACATTGTTGAAGCTAGTTTGTTATAGATAACTTGTACTTCAGTTGTACAACTGAATCAGTTACAGAGCAGTAATTGTATTTCAGTTTATCATAGATTCTCAAGTAATTAGTTAAAGTAACATATACACCCACCCCACGTTTTTTGTATGCCTTTTGAGTGCAGCATGTAATGTGAAGTAAGGTTATCTTAGTCTCACTTTTTCAACATGTGATTTTATAAGATTTGTTTATTATTTTATCCTTAAAGAGCTGCTCCGAGTCCAACCCCCTCTGGGGAAGTTCATACTCCTCCTCCCCTTCCAAGCAGACTTAAGTGTCAGTCTGAGCACTCTACTTCTGACGATGATTTCTCGAGTTCAGGAGGGAGTCGTCGTAATTCGGCCACAGAGGAGGTGAGTTATATAGCTTGCCAAAAAGTTAACTTTTAAAATAACTCTAGTATTACAATTTTTTATATCCAACCAGGAAATACAGTTTAGAGATTTTCCTGGAAAAACCAAGAATGTTTCTAAGATGAGTTATTAATCCAGAACTATATGTATTACAATCTCAAGCAGGTCAGTTTCTTCACATTTTGATCAATTTGCTTGTTCTTAATCTTACCCTAGAAGTTTTATTTCCCACTTAGTTTGGAACAGATACACTAATATATTTCTGTAAGTCTAAATGTTAGTTGCAATTTTATGATTTAAAGACAACTTATATAACTTTAATTTTGACAACCTTCATAAAGATTAGTTAGCATATTATTGATTTATAATCTTTAAATTCACTTTAACTACTTTTGCCATACATGAATATGATCAGTTTTGTACTTTGCTTATTTCTTCTAATTATATGTTGTTGTTGTTTGATCTTTCAATATGATCAGTTTTGTACTTTGCTTATTTCTTCTAATTATATGTTGTTGTTGTTTGATCTTTCAATACATGAACATGATCAGTTTTGTACTTTGCTTATTTCTTCTAATTATGTTGTTGTTTGATCTTTCAATACATGAATATGATCAGTTTTTGTACTTTGCTTATTTCTTCTAATTATATGTTGGTGTTTGATCTTTCAGTACATGAATATGATCAGTTTTGTACTTTGCTTATTTCTTCTAATTATATGTTGT